TGCCGGTAGCGACAAAAACCTGCGGGGAACTATGCAAAAAACGCATCTTCGCACGGGCAGCCCGTGCGTTGGCCATTTATTTCATTTATGTCTTAGATGCTTCCAAACAAACAAGTTACACTTACCAAAAACAAGGACGCCAAGGTAGCCCGGATATCAGTATTATTAAGCCATACGAAAGATACTGCTGAGAAGTTCCCACAGCTGATAGCGACATACCAGACTTTTCGATCCCGGGCTGCATACCTCCACCCAGCAAAAAACACTTGTTCGTCTTATGAGTTACAGTCGGGGACAGATATTATATAGCGCACCTGAAAAATAAAACATATAAGTGCTGCTGAGGGCTTCACTTTAGTAATTCGCAGGTTTTGACGTTTGGTGTTTTCTTATTTAAGTTCAATGAATTCCGAATTTCTTTTTTTACTAGTGCCCAATTTTATCAAATTTTTAGCGGTTCGACAAAATCCGACATCTCTACGGCAAAGAGCACAGGTGGCGATACAGCTGCAGCTCCTGCTGGGCCAAAGCTAACAAAGAGTCAGATCGAAAGTTTCAATCGTCGTGCCAAAAAAGTTGGCGAAGGTCTCAAAGAATTAACCAAAGTTGCGAGCAACACCAAAAATTTTGATGAAAAACTGCAACAGGACAAGCAGCGAATCAAGGATATCGATATGCGGGTGTGTGACCATAATTATCTTATTCTCAAGCTCATACAGCATTGCCTGACATGCAAATTGAAATGTAGCAGGTCAAGCTTGCTACGTGACTCTGAAATACTTTATGCAAAGTCCGATAAATCAGTACAGAATTTATGAAGAAGTCGAGGAATTTAAGTCTTCTTGAGTTTTGGAAATTGAAAATTTGTCAAATGAATGCACAGGTGTGGCACAGAAATGAGAGAAAAATGTTTATTTTATGGAAAAATTTTCCCTCAGCTGCTCACTGAGTGTTAATCTCGTCTCGTGATTGATGACTGGACCCCGCTCAGTTGTGAAGACTCTTTCATTGTTTAATTTACGCTCTATTTTATTATTCTTGGGTCCTATTTTCAATTTTTGCACCTTGTTAGTTCATTTTCGCATCCGTCCGGTCGGCTTCTTTTATCTTTACCTCAGTTCCTTTCGGATGAAAAAAAGTATGCTTTGGACATCATTCTCTCAAAGCCTGTCTGAGTAGTCATTTACTTGTTCACAGATACCGCTCATTGGCAAGCATCGTCAGTTGGTTGTTTGAGGTATTCTTACCGCAGATTGCTTTCGAATCCTTTCTTCTTTCAAAGATGATACCTAATTGCTGTCCTGCAATTACTGATAAGCTGTCTGTCTGTAAATTTTAAAAATTTTAACGCCGTTTCAGCTAAAAACGCTCTCGAAAAAGGAACAAAGTTTGAACGCTGAGCTAACGAAGCAGATGGATGTGCATTTTCGCCTTCCGTCTTCACAAATTAACGAGGAGCACAGCGATTCAAACTTTTATGGTGTATGCGAACTAGTTGATGGCTACCAGAAGGTTAAGTTTGTTGTAAGCTGTGAATACTTTCCTGTGAGTACCGTTGATCATAAGACACGATAAAAACAATCAGAACATGGAAGATTTTGTCTTGGAGAAATCATGGGAGGCCTGAGGACAGCAGAGAGGGACAAATGTTCTAATTACGTTACACTGCGCAAACATTTTGGACAAAGGAATTTTTTTCTTGGAGGTTTAAAGGAGGCAATTAGACCTTCAGATGATGCAGGCACCGTCAGGGTTGTAGAAGAGGAAAAAAGTGAAGGAAAGAAAGGGAAATGGGGTGGTATGAAAGAAAGATTTTTCAATTTATTTGTAACAACCAGAACCTTGGGAATCTTGGCAAAGACACTTCTCGACTTTTCTTTTGTAATTCGTTCTCTGTGAGGGAGCGAGACAAAACTCTTTTAGTTTTTGTGGGCATTTCCGAAAAAGTTACAGCCTGCGACTTGCAGCATTTCTCTTTCCATACCTTCCTGAGCGATGGCCAAAAATATCGTGCAAAGAAACTTGTCCAAGACTTTCTCGAAAAAGCAAATTTACCCTCGGGACAAATTCATCGATGTGAGAGAGTAAAGAAAAGCATTGTATTGACACCAAAAAAGTCATTAAACTCAAAACCGCAGGAAGACTCATTATTCTTGCATCTTCCATCAGCAAAAATGATCCTTTTGTCTCAAAATTGACTTAAGGGGCAAGAACGTTCCAACTACCTCCTTCTCCGCCTCATTTACTTCTTCCTTACTCTCACCCCTACCTCATGAGCCTCATCGCGGATCAGAATAAAACAAGTTTTACATTATTTTAATCTACCTTATAAACGGTTTCAGAATGCCTTAGCGAATATACTAGAAGCAGGGCATTTGTGACCAGTTCTGCTGACAGAGATATTACCCTATTAGTAAGTGGTATCGACGAGAAAGTAAACGACCACCCGGGCGATCTCAGAAGGTACATGCTCGAAATAGATTGTACGTACTCACCAGAGATGTTTGGTCTGGAATAGAAGGGCCTGGAACAGTTGCATCTGGATGAGAATGCAGCTTATGTTAGATCGCCACAGCGGCTGTGTGAGCTGTCCTGGCAGTCTTGTTTATCGTTATTATTAGTTTTTTTTTTTTTTTTGATTAATCTCTGAATGCAGACAGTTGATAATTTGGATAAGGCAATGAGCAAGCTCGAGCAGATTCGCAAAGTGCCGGCAATAAAGAGTATTGGTAGCAAAATGCCAAATACTCCAACAGTGGATGAAATTGATGAGATTATCATTGTCATGAAACGCTTTATCGCAAAGCTCCGTATCCAGGTTTCCGTTTTTCCTTAAAAAACATTTTCAGCCTGAAAGAAAGCACCCCTTCTCACTATTGTTATTAAGCACAAAAAGTTTGACTGAGTAAGAAGTCTGACTGAGCAAAAAGCTTCCTGCGCTGAAAATCACATGGGCTTGAAAGTATCGTGAAAAACCTACAAGAAAAACTGTATGCTGCGCAAAAAGAGATGCGCTCACATAATGAAAATGATTTAAGAGAATCTGAATTGTTTTAAAAGAATGCAGGTGAAAGTAAAACTTTCTTAAGCTTTACTAGCAGCTTAAGGCAAGACAATGTAGCAAGTCGCTTCGAATGTGTAGACAAAGGGCTCGATTCCTAGCCTCCTCTATCCTACTCATTCACAAAAAAGGGGCTTCCACTTTTACGCAATGAAAAACTACTTGTATTTTTCAAGTTCATTAAGACTGTAAAGCATCGTTATTTTCAGCGTGCGTCTATGAGTTTTTCTGGCAGTCCGGCAATGAGCCCGCATGTGCGAACCTGCAGGGTAAGTCGCTGTCTGGAAGTAAATTTTCGGAAAATTTGCTTCTTTCATTTTCATTGATTTCGAAAATGAAGTATGCTTAATTACTACGATCAGATGCTACTTTTCACTGGCGTTTCTTCTCACCACTTATGCAGCTGGCAAATTCTCCATTCTTATTCAGGACTTTTTTCATCCCGTCAAGCAAATTCTTCCGCCGAATTAAAAGCTTTTCCTGTGCTCTTTCAACTCTTTCCCGAACAAGAAAAAAAAACAGGAAGAAGAATGAAAATTTCAATGCATCGCAGAATCACCAGCCGGCTGCCCCACTATAGATGATGCAGCAGCGGTCACTGTGACTACCTGAACTCGATATAACATCTTAATTGTTTACTCAAAATATATATTTTGTAGAGCGTTTCGCCAAAAAACAGCAGTCTAAGACTGAATCCAAGTCTAGGCGGAACAAGCACTGGATCAGCGCTCCGCGATTCTACTTCTGACTATGGTACTACACCGTTGATGACTTCCCAGTCTGCCACATCTGGTTAGTTTGCTGTGTAATGCTTTTTTATTTCATTGTTAAGCGGACAAAATGCTTATCAGTATCAGAGAAAAGAAGTAAAAGTTGCTGTCGGTCCACAATTATCACCAAAAAGTGTGAAATTATCAGTGGTTTAATTGCTAGTGTCGGAATAGAGCACTCGGTTTTCAATTTTTCATGGTCTACGCCACTTGGAGGAAGGGGAAGTGAAAAAGAAGGGGAATGAGGTGCGGGAGGTGGAGGGATTAAATATTAATCAGTTGCCATATTGGGATTAAATATTAATCAGTTGACACAAGAACACTTTAAACAAGACATACCAGAAAATCTACATCGAACCTAAGATTCATTCTTTGGGAAGAGCAAAGTAGCATCCAGGATCTTCCCCGTAAGGGTCACACCAACCTCACCAACCTCACTCTCCCTCAGTTACCTTTCCCTAACTTCTGTCAGTAGCCTCTGAAAAGTGTGCTTCATATTTTCGCCTAATACTTCTGTAGAACTCCATTATTTCTGTGCAAAAATGCCCTAGCAAATGGATTTGTTCACGAGGTCGCTTTAAGTTTTTCTCAGTAATACCACAGCACACATTTTCTCAGTGGGAATAACCGAAAATGAAAGCCCATATTGTTTCCAGGCCCCTGCTTTTTCCCCTCGCCACTTTCTTCTGTTCCAGGGTCAACCTCATCGGCGCAGTCGCAGTTTATGGCGCTTCGACCGATGAAATCCGATAAGGATGACCTGCATACGGCTAAAGAAAAACCTGAAGCAGCGATGAATCAACAAAAGAAGTAGCTAAAGATATATTTATTAAATTCTGTGAACAAATCAAATTACACTTTTTTTTTGTCTTGCCAAATCAATAAAAATTTTCTTTACGGTATGTTGAAGTGCATCAGAATGGTTACTTTCTAAGAGAATTAAACACGGAGGGAATTTTGTTTTTGGCAATGCATACTTTTTCTAAAGACCAGCGGCGTGTTTGTGTGTACGTTTGAGCATTTATGTTTGCTTCTGTATGTTTGTGTATATTTATGTTATGTGTGTTTGTCTAATGTGTGTGTATATAAGTGCGTTTGTTTAATTCTGTGGTGTCGTATCCACGTGTATGTGTCTAAACCTGTGTGCGTGCGTGCATGTTTGTACGTGTGATTGCACGTTTCTCCGAAGTCCAACTACTCCTTTTCTCCTAAAATTCCGTAGCATTAAAATCTTTTGATTTAACATGGCTTAAGCTACATTTATATGACGCAGCAAGGTTATTCCCTTTCAGCATTTCCGTCCAAATTGACTGTGGGTACGTTTTCGTTGTTCAGGACATTCGTCTGCTAAAGTTACGCTTTTTTTGAATTAATAAAACTACTGCAGCTTGTATATGTATGCGTAAAAATATGTACATATGTAGTTATTGCGTACTATAGTAAACCAGAAATTGCGGTAAAAAGTTCTTCGCGAGTCCAATTATTAATTTATTCGTAGTTAGTACTAAGAATATCCAACTTTTTTACAGCATTCCTAGGCAATTTATAAAATCGCTAGAACTACAAAAATCGCTCGAGAACTTACTCCAGATCTCGATCTGCTTTTTTGAAGGGCAAAAGAGGAAAAAAAAGAAAAATGGGGGAAAGAACAATGTTAACATTTGAAGTAGGCTGTTCACCGGGCTGTGGTGGCGCTGATCGAAGCAGTTGGAGAAGCTACCAACTGCATAAATAAAGGACCAACTCGCAGCTAATCGCAGTAAGTTAGCAATTCGTGTTGATTTGAAATTCACGACATTCTAACAGGTGAGCAAATAATTTTATTGAACTGCGTTCTGTCATTACGGCAATTTACAGGAACGATAATAATATTGATGATGATGATAAAAAATCGCAATAACAATAATACAGACAGACAGGTAATTACTGATTATTATCAAAACTGAATAATCGAACAACCAAAACAATTTTTACACTTTACCACTTAATCATAATAATTATGCACCGGTCTGGTTGGAAGGGAGAGCAACGGAAAGCAGGAATTGATAACAGTTACCAAATATCACAGAATCGGAAGTAAACTCGGCCTGGGGACAATCAGCCTCACTTTTTTCAGTGGCAAATTGGCGCTGCTGCATGTCAAATGAATCAAACCCGCCATCAAATTGTTTCTCAAAAGTAAGAGCAGTCGACAGTCCTGCCAACCGGTGGTTGCAGTTAGTACTTGCTACCACTCGGCGTACTTCCGAGTGCCTCCGCCTCTCAAAAAGAGCAAATATGGAGAGGCTTTTGACTAGTCTTCATACTGCAGCATTTCACACGGAAAACATAGAAATTACAAGGAGAAATGTCGAACTTTCGATTTTTCAGAAAAGGAAAAAATGAAACAAAACTTTTTTATCGTTTCGGAAAAACGTAGATATATAGCAGTATCCCGTATTGACAACAATTATAAGTTTCCTATATACTTTTGGAAAAAAAAGTTCTCGTGCAATAATAAAAGCAAAGATAAGGACAGAAAATGGTGAAAGAAGTGCATTGTTAGTGCTCAACAAACTCTTCAGGACTGCTCGGGCTATCGTTGCAAAAATCCTCAAAGATGTTAAAATGCCTCTAAAAATTGTTACGTATGATTAAAGACTAAGTGGGCAGTTTTTCCAAAAGTGCTCTGAGTGGCCAAGCCCCAACAACTACCGGCAGAACAAGGGAGAAGATGTCTTGCTAACTTTTTTCGTGTGGTCATTTCTATTCGCAAGTACTAAGTGTCATACACCAAATGCTAACGAAACAAACAACGTGTCCTGCGTGGCAAATTTAATATTTTTGCCATAGTCACAACAATGTTCTGGTCACAAGTCGTCCAATGGGAGTAAAATATTTCTGTACTTTTGAATATCATTGTTTTGCTGTTGTTAACAATGATATTACCTGTTTTCTAGGGAAAATGACAAATAAAATAGCCCTTACCGAAAAAAAATGTAGTAAGAATGCTGGATCAAATATGAAACGATTAATTTCTGTGAAGTCATACTAAATAACAGCTATTAAGTGATTCCGCCATCAGCATCCTTATATGCAATCCTCAGCTGAGACTGAAGAAGCCATTGAAAACCTTGCCGGCTTTGGTTGTTGTTGTTGTTAGCGCTTTCTATCTTTGTAATACTTCCAAACGCCTTCGCCTCTGATAGAGGGCGAATACGGAAAAAATTTTGACTAAACTGCCCTGAGTGGTAGAGCTCACTCGAATGGCTATATGCGGCTACTGTGGATGCGGTGAATCTCAAAGATAGCAAAACAGATATTTTGTCAGCTACATCGATGACAAGGAAAATGGCGAGTATGCAACAGCTGTTTAAGTTCTAGGAATACAGTACCACTGAGTGTAATTTCCTGTGAGAGGAAACTACGGTTAAACTATGGTACTGTATTTCTGGAAGCTCTGGTGGTATTTTCAAGGGTTGTGGCAACCAGTGACCATTCTCACTCTATGATTTCGTGCGTTTTGTTTAAAGAACGACGATTCAGAAAAGAGGAAAATACAGAAAACGCTTTAGCAGGCACGTTAATGAGACCTCGTCGGAAGATAACTGTACTTTGGTGTACGATGGCACACAGTAGAAATTATGCAAAACATCGAACACACTCCAAAAGTACCGGTTCATCACCATCCACTGCTAGTGGCTTCTCTTCCGAACACTCCCCGAATTTCTTTTCGGATGACAGTGAGCACTGCAACAACAAAATAATGAGGCATAACGTTTGCTATTTTCAGGCAAAGCAACATCATAAAACATACTGCTACCAGAAATATTTGTAATACGAACTCAATTTTCTGGATTAACAAACAGTAAGTTGAATTTTCTGGATTTTCTGGGTTATGGATTAACAAACAGTGAGTTGGCGCGATGCAGTAACGCTGCTCTTGGGCTGAAAGTCATATATTCAAGTCACCTATTAAGGCGGCTAAATATCATTCATTTCGATGGTAAATTGGCAATGGCACACGTCAGAGATTCAAGGTTGCGTTAGCTTACTTGTAAAAATCTCTTCAATGAAAGGCAGCCTTGGCAGAAAACAAGTTGCTCTTGACATTTACTACCGCTGAAATCATTTCCTGGGTGCCATCGTTCCTTACAGTAAGCAAATATGGTAGTAAGCTTTGAGCTTTTGAATTTGACCAAGAGCATCAGGATATCTTGGACAGTCAGTGTGAGTATCCTATGTTAGTGATTTCGCTGGATGCTCATAGTTCCCGGCGAAGCCAAATGACCGACAGTAAAAAAAGTGCCAAATGATATTCAGTTCTTTTTTTGAAAAATACATGATTTTTGTTTAAATAAGCCCAAGAAGATATAACTATTCAGTCCTTCCCTTTCGCGCACCCCTCCATCCCTTCCTTTTCCCGGTTACTGTATTGACTACGAAAAGGCAGGCAAAGAAACATACAAGATTGGATTTATGATCGTAATGTGCGACGGCACAGTTACGACGCGAGCATGCTTCAGCACACTGACTAATTGAAAGTACTGGCTCGATTGCGTCCACTTCATGTAACCTGGTCAATTCGACCACTTCGCTAAGCGTATAGTTGCATTCTGCAAATTTGCGCCAAAATTTATGAAAAATCTTAATTTCAGACTTGGAAGAAAGGATGTATTTCAGCTTTTTAATTTTTTGACTAGCATATGCTTTAGAAGTATGAGCACTGTCCGCTCAGGTTCGAAAGTGTCCTCACCCTGTCTCCTTATGGGCATGATTTTTTTTATCCTTAGTATCAGTGTATAACCATATAGCCTCACTTTCAATATCAAACATTTACTAGTTGAACATACACCTAATCATGAATTACTGAAACTGCAAAACATCGGGACCAAAGAGGTCATATGTTTAAAGAGGAAAGCATTCGGCGTTTCATTCCTCAGCTATAAATACAAAAAGAAGTGATGCTATAGTCTGCTGCCTAGCCTATTTAAAAGCTTGAGAAGGTATGGTGATTTTTTAATTTCCACTAGACATTCTTTCGATTTTCCAACTCAGCGCTGAATATGCCAAACAATACGAAAATTCGCGTCACCTCTTTCTGTTGCCCCTGATAATGATACTAAACTTACTGGAACATTTCAAACAGCTAATGATAAACGGTGCATTGGCTGTATGTTGTGGCACTGGTTTGTCTTCTGGTGAACAGATACCAATATCTGATGTGAGCAAGCATGTTGACTGCCCATTTGGGCTTGGCACAAATCCTGCGAGAACACAATCCGCCTGAAAATCATCGCACAGTTTGTCTGAGCCTACAAGTTGGAATTTTTACAGATATTTTTTGGTGGACAATCTGATGTAGTGGTGCTGTTGGGGTCCAACTATCGCTGGTTAAAATCGGCCAGGCCCAAAAAAATCTCAGAGTTTTGAAAAACAGACTGATCTAGGTTACGCAGATGGTAACATTTGATAACATGTGTATCTTCTTGACCAAGATATTAGTTATGCTTTTTTTTCGCCTATCCGATCAAACACTTCATTGCGTCCAGAAAAGACAGGGTTCGGTGACGACGTTCAACATACACACGCATCAAGGATATCCTGAAATGGCTAAAGCCTTGTAAAGTACTTCTGCCGGAAAAACCGTTATGCTGATGTAACATCTTCAGAAGATGAAAACAAATATCGGGGTGGACGGTAAAATGGCCACTAAGTGATGCTGCATTGGTCAAGTTAATTGTAAAAGACGCCAGCTTCATCGATGAAGACCACACTATGAATTTTGGCAGATACTCCGAGCATTCCAGTTTTAAATGTAAGCAAATTCGTACGTCTTCGTAGCATTTTCGAGCGCAATCAGCTGGCGTTTCAGCGGTAGCTTCACTGGAAATATTTAGCGGCGGTAATTCACCAATTGACGATACTTCAAATTCAATGCGACCCGGGCAACCAGTTGCCGTTCCTGCAAGTGATGTTTCACTCAGTTCGTAAGTTATAGGAATTCCCTAAAATCTCTAAAATACTTTTATTTTATACAGTCAGATACACCAGTCTGTCAGAAGTATGGCCAATTCGCCAAAATACTGGCGGTGGACGGTGAGAAGTAGCACTGTTGTCGTGTGGAAGGCGTAGGGTCCGAAATCGTCATTGAGACAACCAGTCCCTCTACAGTTCATCCATTTGCTTCGATGGTAAACTGGTACTGGTGCATGTCCATCGTTATATGTGAAATTTAGAACTGTCATCTCTGATTTTAGATTTTTAGGAGAAAAAAAAACCTTGGAAAGAAGTCATTTTAACACCACTACGGCTAGGCGTTCCAGTCAGAGCCTCTCGAATGTGAGCAACACTGGTCGGTCGCCGAGCGTCACTGTCTTTTATCACCGATGCATCATCAACAACGAATGATTCTGCAGTACATTTTTCAATAACGAATGCTTGTGGAAATTCGTAAAATTTAAGTTTTTCTGCTAAAAACAGTGAAGCACCTTTTTCTTTTCCCTTCTCATAAGGTGACTGTGAAGTACGCCGAATCACATCTTCAATTTTCGAATTGTGACTCAAAATGTTGACCAAATCGGAAACTGCTTGAACTGGTGGTTCGGTTGTCGCAGTTTCACCTAAAATAAAAATTTTCGTAATTTTTAATCCACAGTTGTCCTCGAGCTGACGTTTAAATGAACATCAGGACTGTCAGAAGGCTGACGGCCGGTCAATGCAGCACTGGACAAAGAAACTGGAAAAACTACTAACTGCATAGTCAGAGAACGATTTCATGAGCTTCATTTTAGCAAGTTATCCTTGCTCAGGATTTGCAGTCTGAGGAAAATTTCAGAGGTTAATTAGCACCTGATGCAGTCAACCAGTTGCCTTCGCTGGACGTCGATGGGGTTATTTCGTGTTCTCCGACGGCATGAATTCCACTACTCTGGAATGCAGCGCTTTCATCCACAATAGTTGAACCGGACGTTGTAAGATCCAGCGGCAGCCTCGTCGACGCATCGCTGTCTTGTGCTTTAGCTTTTGCTTCCTGCTGCTTATCTAGAAGTAATTAAAAATCAATCATTACTCTCTCCAAAATCGTCCTCTATTACGGGTACAGGTCCGGAATTGACCCAACTGAAAACTATTGCCAACAGCAACTATCCGCAGGTAAGGTTGTCGATGGCCCCTTTTCTGGAACCCCCTTATACGGCAGGCTGATCGTGAATTTGATTTCCAGGCATATACCAGTACCAATTTGCCATCGAGATGAATGAACGAACCGAGGATGGACTGATTATCCCATTGGTGGAGTCGAACCCTCCGGCTACTGCATGAAAACAGTTTTACTCGCTATTTTCCTTTGCCCATGAATATCGGCATAATAGTACTGGATACATGTTAAGTCAGAATGATCTGAAAGCCGAAACTCCACTGTTTTACTCAAAACTTCCTTTCGTTGATTCGACTGACAGCACTTTGTCAGCAGCAACCACCCACTGAGAATAAAACTGGCAGCTTTCTTTTTCAGAAATCTATTCTGAAACAAACTGAAGACGGTCTTATTTCCCGCATGCCAGTATCAGTTTCCAGTGTGTGCACTAAATGAAATACTAGACAGGAAAAAAGTGAATTCCGGACACACTGTAAATCGATTCAAGTGATGCTCTCATCTTAAATTCGGTTACCCTGACAGCTTAGCTTTCAAATTTGTCATCTACTGAAGTCCAGCTTCTGATTTGCAGCGTGTACTGTTAAAAAAGCGATGGAGAGACTCTCTCTCAGTAATCCGTTTATTCGTCTCGATGGTAAATTGGCACTGCCGTACGCCTAGGAAATAAAACCACCGCTATCTTGCTTCTAAGCAATTCTTGAACAGAAAACCACTAACAATCTTGCCAGTGAATGGTTTCTATTGACACAAGGTACATTCGATCTACTTCCGAATGTTTCTGCTTTTCGTATTGAATTATAGAGGATGTGGAGGATGTTTTGAGTCATAAGAATGCCTTCTCAATCAAGCAAATTGGGGTTAACCTTCTTTCGTTGCCGTATCGCCAACAACGATCTTCGTGGAATCTGCTCCCAGTTCGCTGCTACCACTGCCACTCCCACTGCTACCACTAGTATCAGATGTTACGGCTGCCTCGTGTACTGCGCCGCTTGTCACAGCTGCTACTGATGCATCGCCAATCACTGGCGAAGTATCGGTTACCGCAACGCCACTTTCCGAAGCTGCCTGGATCACCTTTTTGACGTTATCATCGACATGTGCCTGCGCTACTACTGATCCATCTGTTACTGCATTCTCAGCGAACAAAGTTCCACCGACACCGTCGGCTTCTGGAATTTTGGTTGCCCCTTCTATACTTTCTCGGCTTTCTGCTGTACTTGCTTCGACCACATTCCCGGTGATTTCATGCGTTTCAGTTTTGCTTGTTTCTGCAACCTTGCTAGAAGTTACACCAGTTTCTGATGCTCCAGCAATAACTGCTTCTTCGCCTGATGTCACTTCCGCATGTGTTTCTTCTACAGTAATAGCTTGGGGACTACTTGATGGCGTGACTTCAGCACCAGATTCCACGGTTGCTCCCACTGGAATATTTGATGAAGTTATTGCCGTGTGGGATTCTACTACGATTCCTGTTCCTGGAAGGATTGACGATGTTACTTCGGTGTGGGACTGTGCTTCGGTTGATGCTTCCAGTACGCCTGATGATGAAACTCCGACTTGAGATTCTTTTTCCATTGATGCTTCTGGAATGCTCGCTGATGTTACTTCTGCATGTGACTGTACTACAGTTGCTTCTTCTGGATTATCTGATGATGTTATTTCCGTGTGCGATTCTGGCTCAGTTGCAGATGTTATGAGATGAGATTCTACAGTAATCGCTTCGACGACATTCGATGTTTTACTTTCTTCGTGTGGCAGACCAGTTGTGGCTGTTGTAAAACCACTTGCAACTGCACTTGCTACCGCAGCTGCGATATCGCTTGCACCTAATTTATTACCGCTTTCTGCACTTTCTGGATGCACCGTCACTTTACCAATGATCTCTGGAGCAACAGCATTTGTCGATTGAGATTCGTGTTGGAAGCCAGTATCAGCGCCGGACAGATCACTTTCCTGCTTCTGATCGCCAACTTCAGTTTTCTTCACCGGTGATTCAGCTGTTGACAGTTGAACAACTTCTCCGGGTGCAACGGTACTGGTTCTGGAATCCGGCACCGCGACACTAGCAATTTCGGAACTGTCGATAGGAACGTGAAGTGGCGTATTTGCGGTCAAAGAAATCAGTAGTTCAGGTCGAACCGTAGTTGCCAGCTCGTCCGCGCTGAGAGTTTCTGCAACTTTTTCCACAATTCCAGCCTCGCCGCCATCTTTGGTCACCATATTTATATCAGCGACTGCTTTCTCGCCTTCAATAATTCGATTCGTCACCAACTCCGTATCGCTCGGAATCTTGGTAGTCTGTTCATCCGATTTCGCTGCTTCCGGTGCCGACGTAACACTACCATGCGCCTCCAGTACCACAACAATCGGTGTGGTATCAAGTTGCATGTCACCGGGTGCTACCGATTCATCGCCTTTTATTTCCGAAACGCTTGCCGGAAGCCGAGTTGACTCATCGGCAACGCTGTCAAGCTTTGTCTCTAATGTCACCGCCACTGGCTCAGTTTTGTCAGCAATACTGCCAGCGGCTCCTGGAGATTCTGGTGTGCTGGACAAAAAGTCAGCTGCAACTCCATCAGCTGTTTTCAGTTCGCTACCTGAGGCTTTGCCATTTGCTCGCAATGTAATTGCGGATCCAGTTTCTTTGGTAGACTCCAGAGTTGCATCCTGATTAATCGTTGACAAAAATTTCTCTTCTGTATCAATGGCTTTCGGTGCTGGTGTATTTTCGTCGCCAGATCTCTCTGGTGCTCTCCCTGTTTTTGAACCTTCATCATTGCTAGCTTTTTCAGACGCACCTGAAATAAATTGAAACTAAATTACAAGTAGATTAAATATGCCGCCGGAATGTTTTGCGAAATGTCCGAAAAGCTAACGTCTGCTCGACTCGAATATGCTCCTTCATTTAACAGTTGCATTCAGTAAGCGAATACACGTATCAGTAAACTGCATTCACATATTTTCTCTAATTCTAATGCGCGGTGCCCACCGACTGTTCTCAAAAGTAATTATGAGATATGGGTGTTGGATAACTACTAATTTTCTAAACAAAAAAAGCTTCCTATATATCAGAAAAAAGTCTCGAAATGACTTTTTCTTTTCACTCTTCTGATTGAAAAAAAAAAAAAAAAAAACTGGCTTCCTAATTAAATTTCATTAAGCGGGATACAAAAATCGGGTTTTAATCACTTCCTAACCGACAAATACTTTTTACAGGCATGTGATTTAAGGTTAGGTTTATACCTGTTGGAACAGTTGTGTCTTCAACAAACAAACCCAGTGTGCTTTCCTTGAGCTCTTGTCCTGAAAAAATGGAAAATTCTGATTTTTTAAGAAATTCCCACCTTTCATCAGAAAAAAGTATAGAGGATAAAATGTTTCTTCAGAAGAATGATGCGCAGGCCGGGAAATAATATTCGCTTTATTGCCAGTATAGATGGAGCAAATACTCCTTAATAAAATGGAAAGTACCATTCACTTAGACCTCGAATTAATGAAGCTCTTTAAAAAGAAGGCTGATAAATGAAAGTAAGAAGTTCTGAGGAATTTGAATCAAAATACTCAAACCAGTGGCTCTGCGGCGTGCAGTAAATGTTGATAAGCTGTTTGGCGTGCAATAATCTTACATGCAATGAAGTGTAAAGTATTGTTAAAAAAGACTTATTCTTCACATCTGTTCAGTAGTTACAATAATCAAACCCAGGACAACGAAACAAACCTCAGAAAAGCCAGCAAACCGACCATCACGAAAAGCAGCACTGGTCAATGCAGTTGAAAAAATTGCTAATGGAAAATTTAACTTTGAAATGGCAACTGTTTCAGTTGTTTTGGATATGTAGTGATTTATAATGGGAAAACAAAAGCTGAATTTCTGCGATAACAAATCCACTTACTGCAACTGATACAGTGAATCCAGAGTGTTTCCGTAGCTTCCACTGAACGATGCTCCTCTTCATTGCCGTCGCAGTACTGATGATCCTCATATGCTAAAGAACATTCGTGAGTAGCTGGATCAAACTTTGCACCAGCGCATCCTTCCTGAAATTTATCGTATTTTATGGAATGTTTTCAGAGCCATTCTTCACAAGGAGGACGTGAATTTTTACTTCATCCTTGCGTTCATCTCACATCTTGCAGTATTTTTCACTGACATACAACTTCTATCGTAAACGAAGCCCCTTGTTGAAAACAGTAATGGACTGGGAGGAAATCGAACTCTTTACGTCCGGGCGTGAGGTGCTACCCACTGTACCACCGGCCGTTGTGCCTTCGGTTCAACCTGACAGTACATCTATTGCGTATTACCTTTCAAGGCAGAATTCACCTTCTTTTTCCTCCTTGTCTGTCGTAGACATTTTTAATTTTCTTTTTGTGGAGGTTTCTTCTTCGCTGACCTTTCGCAAGTTTTAGAATCAGCATAACGAGTATCGTGCCCTTCCTGCCGGATTTTGCTTTCTCTCATGGGCACGAAAATACTTGCATGCTGATCATCTGACCTGATGTCTGGTCTTCTGCGTGGGAACAGCCGTAGTTAGCCAAGCCTTTCAGCCCCGTGCTGCACATCACCAGTTGATACTCAGCACTGGTTCGATATATGTTCCCTATTCTTCGCAGGCTGCTCGAGCAGTTGTTTACTTTCTCGCGAGCACCACTCACTAGCATGTAACGTCGGCCGGTTACCAGTAAGGTGAGAGGTGACTTGCTAAAAAAAATAATCCGAAATCCGACTTGAAAACTTCTGAAAGCTGCAAAATTTTCCGGGGTCTTTGAAACTCCATGGCAGCTCCTATGCAGATTCTGAACACTTACCGTGTAGCAACGTTTTGCGCATTCTTCAACACTTGGCACTGTACCATTAGGAACAAATTCTGCAATAAAGTCAACAGGCTTTGTCGAGATAGGTCCAGCCTGGAAGGACACAACGCAACCTGAAAATGAACAAAATTCAATAAGTGAACGATTTCAGGTTATCGAACAGCCTTTCCAGAGATGGTTGCTATTGGCACAAGCTAGCAATCAGGTTTTTTCCGAGTGCCGTTTCTCCTCCTAGCAGCGAATACTAAAAGAGTTTTGACTTTTGTTCTGAACTGATTTTTTGCATATGTATTTTGTTCTAAATTTTTGTTCGACGCCTCCACGCGTATCATATTCAAATGTCTCGCCTTGAGGCTCGCGTTCTCTCCCTTCCCACTTCCTTTCCCCCGTCCCCTCCTCCCTTCCGCTTCAGCCCACTTCTTCTTGATGCGATTTGTATTGTAATCAGTTTGTTTTGCTGAGTGGTTGAATTGTTGCAGCAGTAGCTTGTTGCTGTCGGCCAATCCCCTTAACAAGCCGGTCTTTGTTACTTTCGTTCTGCGACTGTCGATTGTTTTAAAATAAAATTTGTTTTATTTTCAAGACTCTGCCGTCTAGCAAATACATCCCTAGAGAATTTAGCAGAATCTTGACTGCGGTACAATTCCCGTTGTTTACAAATACAACATCTCCACAATCTACTCTTTCGTTTAAATGGTACAGATTTTTGCGTAACTTACCGTGTCCAATAAGCGTTGTTCCTGTGGTAGTAGTCAGTCCCTCTTTGTCGGTCACCTGTTCTTTGTCCGAAATCGCGACTGCTGGAACCGCATCTATGTTGAGCTCCGATGCTGGTGCTTCCGGTTTCTTCGTCGTGGCGTCGGCTGATACTGATGCTCCTTCTGCCGCTGTGGCTTCTTTTTCTCCGGACGATGCAGATGTTGTAGCTGCATCTGCTGCCGGCTTAGAAGCTTCTTCTGTTTTTTCTCCTTCAGCTGCTGCAGTTGTAGCTTGTTCCTTCGCTTCTTCTGGTTCTCCCGTTTTAGCTACGCTTTCTGCTGAGACTTCACTCTTCGGTGCTTCGGTTGCTCCGCTTTCTCCTGCGCTAGCGCTTTCTGTAGAGACTGTTGATTCTTGCTTTCCTTCTGCTGGCGTAGCGGTTTCGGTAGCTTTGCCTGCAGCTTCAGTCTGTGCTTCTTTCGCTGTAGCTGCAGCATCAGTAGGTGCTTCCGGTTTTGCTGAGATTTGTGCTTCTGCAGCTAAAATTTCAAATTTTTGAATATTATAACTACTGATATTGAAAATGAAAATTTAATTTAAACCCAAGCCGGAACGCACCAGGCTCTCCTGTGCGATTATGCGTTTTTGCACTAAACTTGCAGATCGCTATTAGCACGAATGATCCTTACACTGCAGCCTAACACTTGGGCTCATATTGGCCGTGCTTTGGCCCCTTCCGGCATGCAGGAGGAAGGATGTCAGTTGGGATGAAGGTAGTGCGTTATAGAGCTACACGGACATCCAAGTGAATGAATACCGGTTTTTTGCATGAAATCCGGTCGTTTTTTCGGTAAATGCTCGCTTTGTGAAAAAATGACAA